AGGAAGACCTTCCGGAGTGAGTTTGGGTGCACAGAGCTTGTCGGTGGTTGGCACCCACGGGCCCTGGTCAGGTGGGGGCCCTGTGCCCATTTCGGTTGGGGGCTGTGGGCGGCCTGACGGGAGGCAGGTGCGGGTGGGTGGGGGCACTACCAGCCTACAGCAGGGTGACCAGCTGGGACCTGAGCCAACTGAGAGTGGACAATGGCTTCTGTGGCAGAAGAGCAGAAATCCCTGTGGCTTCTGAAATGCTGAGCCGCAGCACGGCCTTTTAGACTAAGCTGTCTGCAGCCTGTTCGCAGATACTGACGCGTCAGGGTAGCTGTTGATGAAAAGCGGATCAGGCAGAGGAAGTTGGATCTCCCTGGACTGTGAACTGGGGAGCCTGGGCCAGCAGAAGCCCTTGGCCCCATGGCCACCCCACCAGCCGGGCTCCCCACCCTCAGCCAGAGGGGTCTTCCCCCCCCCCCCCCCCCACCGCCCCACGCTGCCGTGGTCCCGAGAGGCCAGGGGTCTGGGGCCTGGCCTGGGGCCCCTCTTCCAGGAGCATGGCTTGGTTTTGAGGGTGCACGACAGGCAGGCTGGATTCCGTCTGCGGGCTCTGTCCAGTCCTGTTCCACTGGCGCAGGTGAATTCTGTGCTCAGGTACCAGTCACTCGCTTTTGCTCAGCTGTCCTGTCCCCCAGCAGGGATGGAGGGCTGGAGACAGCCCTGCCCTTAGTCTGTGCCTCTACCAGCAACACCCCCGCTGCCTCTTCACGAGGCTAGAGGCTCAGGGAAGAGGCTTCTGGAACGGGGTGGGAAGCCAGATGTGGACAGGTCTGCCATCTTCATGGGGCCTGTCTCTAGAGGCCCCAGTGCCCCTGTCTATGGGCCGTTGCTGGGCGAAGACCAGAGGCTGGTGGATGGGAGGCCACGGAGCCAGGGGCGCGTGGTCCCTGCCCTGCCCCCCCACCAGGCCTTTCCCTAGGGGGCCGGACAGTGGGGTGCTGCTGGGGACACTCGCTCAGCCCTGAGTCTGCCCGCCTGTATGGGGAGCAGCCTCAGGCAGCCCTTTGCACAGTCTTCGTCTTCTCCTTATTCATTAAACAGTTGTGAAATTAGCAGCTCATTTTCTACCTAGTTATTGCCCTTTGAAGTTCCATAAAAATCTGAACTCCGTCTCAACTCCTGCTCTGCACTAAAACAGAGGGAGCTGTGACCTCCGTCTGATGGGCTCTCCCGTCTGGTGGCTGGTCAGGAGGGGGACTGGGGGAGCCGAGACGGGGCATGGCCCTCCCTTTCCTGCCATCCGCCCAGTGCTCTGGGGCCCTGGGAGGGGCTGGTGTGTGTCCCGCTTCCACGGCTGGATCACGGGGGGCAGGACGTGCTGGGGGCAGGAGCCAGGCTGGCTGGGCTCCGCCGCTGGATGGGTGTCCCGCCTCCCTGGGCCTCAGTGGCCTCCCTCCCTGCCACCACGCCTGCCCCGCGTGCCCGTGCTCGGTGGTCAGGAGGGCCCCTGGCTGCAGCCTGGTCCCCCCACCCCGTCTGGGGCCCCCGAGCACGGGCGCGCAGGGGAGGCCGGCCCCCGGGCTGACTGTGCAGGCGCGAGGGCTCCGCTGATAGATGGGCTCATATCCCACTCAAATATGATGCCAGCAGTTTTCTGTAGTTCGTCTTCCATTGCGGTAGTAAAGTTTTTAATTAGGAAAGCTAATGAGATCGATTAGTCATTAGAAGTGACCTCTGCACGGCAGGGCGGAGAGGGCTGTGTGTGTGGGCCTGATAACGCGGCGCCCGGGCCTCGTTGGCAATAAAGGCGCGAAGGGTTTGATTTGAGTGAAATGTGCCACAGGGAATACATCATGCGGAGAAAAAAAATTACAACCCTGGGAGTCTGTAATGAAGGGAATTAAACCCACATCCTATCTAAATAACATGATTATCTACACAAACCCTCCGCCAGCCGGGGGGAATGGCCGGCTGCTGGGGCTGCCTTCCCAGCCGCGGGGTCGGGGCGAGGCCTGGGCTCCCGAGCCACGGGGAGCAGGGCGGGGGTGTGCCTGCCACCTTCGCCCTGGGGCGGGCCTTGCCGCCTCCCACCCCAGCTTCCTGGTCCCCGTGTGCAGGCACGGTGTTAGGATCCCTGCGCCTGTTGGCCACGGGGGCACACACCCACCCGTGTGTTCTTGGCACGGGCGCCCTAGGCGGTCTCCCCGGGGTCACTGCCGTGAACCCTTCCGCTGCCTGTGTCTAAACTGCCCATTGAGGAAAGATGGGGGCCGGGAGTGACCAGCAGGCCAGGCTGTAGGGGTCACAGCCCCGCCGTGGGGCAGGGTGTGTGCCCTGCTGTGCCCTCCCCTCCCCTTGTTGCTCAGGACCACGGGGGGTGGGGCCTCACAGATGACAGTGTGAAGGAAAGGACACCAGGCTGACTGTTTAAAAGGAGATCTGCCTTGTTACTTTGCGTTTCCCAGAAGTGGTAATTGGGTACTAATAAGTAAAATGCAGTAAGTTAAGCAAAAAGTTGATTTTACAACAGGGCTGCGCTTTGCAGGAGTGCATCCTGAATGCAGTTGCCTGTTAACTTGAATGCAGAGTCCAGGCCTTTGGGCGTGGGGGCGGGGGAGGGGGCCTCCTAGAGGTGGCAGTGCTCACATCCGGAAGAGGGGAGTGGGGCTGGGCCAGGCCTGGGTTCCCTATGCTCAGGACGAAGGGGGTGGGGCTGGTGAGTCAGCAGGGCTCCCGGGCAGGAGTCCAGCTGCAGAGCCAGGGCTGTGTGGCTCCAGCCGTGCCAGGGCTGTGTGGCACCTCCCATCCCAGAGCAGCCAGCGGCCGCTGCCTGGGAGGCCTGGGGTCAGGCGTGCTGTCCGGATGCAAGGGCCGAGGGAGCAGGGCGGCTGTGAGGGTAGCTTGGGGCCCGGATGACTTAGAGGAAGGCTCTTAGTTGGAACAAGCTGTTATTGATTTTCTGTGGTCCATCCTTGCTTGTAAGACCTTGAAAATTCAATTCAGCAAACATTTATCTATCGATGCCCACTGTGTGTGAGGCTCTCCCCTGCGTCCCAAGAGCGTGTGGGGTGCTCAGAGCTAAGGATCCACTCACTTTGGTCACTCAGCAAGATCAGGTGTCCCTGGTGATGCCGTGTCGCCCTTTGGTTTTGCTGACCTTCTGTTTTCTCCCCAACTCCCTGGAGCTGCTGCTCTTGGAGGGAGGGAGAACCAAGGGGAGACAGAGACAGACAGAAGGGGTGAGGGGAGAAGTGGGGGGTCTCCCCTGTTGCCGGGGCGTCTGTCCTGGCCTCACCTGGATGTGTCATGGCTCCCTTTGGTGGGCAGCTGCTGTGTGTCCCTGCGCCAGTCTGGTGACCAGAGCTGTGCCCTGCCCCTGGCACTCTTTGGGCCTTGAAGCCCACGTCCACCTCTGACAGGTGAAAGGGCCCTGCACAGTCTCCTTGGTCTGGCAGCAGGCGTGCACCCTCTAGTCCGGGGCACTCGGGAGGGCTCTGACCCATGCCGTGTCCTGACCTTGCCGTGTGGGTGGATGGGTACCCTGGCAGAGGGTGAGGGGACACCTGGAGGAGGGGCTCTTCTGACATCCGGGCAAGGGGCACAGTGCCAGATACCAGGCTTGTCCTGCTTGTTCCCGGCCAGGTGTCCCCCTGGATGTAGTGGGTTCTGGCGGGCCGGGCAAGCCTGGAGAGGAGGTGTGTGGAGCCAGGAGCTGGTTCGGGGGCCTGGCGGTGGGCTGGAGTCTGTTGGGTCTAGGGCTCTGAAAGACGGGTTTTAGATGCTGTCCGTGATTCGTAACAGCTCCTTGCAGGCCAGCAACGGGGAGGTTCCCAGTCTGGTTCGGGATCTGTGGGTTCTGGGAGGGTCTAGCAGAGCAGGCCCGGGTCATGGAGCGCTGGTCCGTGCTGTCGGAGGAGCCAAAGGACGGGCACCGAGCGGGACTAGCGAGGGGATGTGGGGGTTTGGTGCTGCCCCGTGCACTGCTCCCTCCGGGCCACCTGGGGCCCTGGCAGCCTTTGGCTGAAGGGTCACGGGTCTGCTCTGGTGCTGATGCTCCGGCAGTGAGACCCTGTGCGTTTTCCTGGGGGCCTCGCCTGGCACGCACGCCGCCCCGGGCGGGCGCGGGGCCGCCCCCCCCCGCCCCCCCCCCCCCCCCCCCCCCCCCCCCGCCTGCCCCTGCCACTGCCCGACAGCCTGACCCGGCATAGTGTCTCTGTGAGTGGGAGCCCCAGGAAGCTACCCATGCTGGGGTGCTGTGCAGGCAGGTTGGATGGGACGAGGAGGAGCCCGCAGGGAGCCTGGGTCCCAGCGCCGGTCCGAGAGGGGAGCTTCCGGAGAGGCTGCCGGCCATGGGCTGGGTCACGAGAGGCTTCGGCGCCCCCGTCCCACGCTGCGTTCGCTTTAATTATCTGGGCAGTTAGAGCTGTATATTATGCGAGCCGGGCAATTAGGTACGTTCCTCGAAGCTGTGGAGAAATTGCCGGCTATCAAGTGGAGGGGAACTCGGGCAAAACAGATCCCTGTTAATTGCATGAACCATTCAGCAAAAGAGAAGCTGTGGTGTACGTACATCCCCCGCAAGATGTTATGAAAACATTGGTGATTAAATACATAAATCTGCGTGAGCATGTGCCGGGGGTGCCCGGAGAGGGAGGCGAGCAGTCTGCACCCCGGCCTCCTGCGCCCTCCTGCGGCCCCCTCCTCGCTACTCCTGGAGGCTCTGGGGAGTTGGGGCCAGAGTGGGGGTCCTGAGTCTGGGGACTGCCTGCTGAGGGGCACCAGCCCATGGTGCCGCACCAGTCAGCTGGCCCCGGGGCGCTTCTGCCGCCCCCCCTGCCCACGTGTCACTCGGCATCCCCAGTGCCCTGTGTCTCAGGACTCCAGGCCTGGGCCCAGCTCTCTGGAGCCTCGGGCCCCTGGGTGCTCTGGGGCTGTGTGGGGCAGGGCTGGAGTGAGTCGAGAGGCCCCCTGCCGACCTCCACTGACCCCCTCTGTGTGCGTTTCCTCTGCAGCGTCCAGTGTGCACACCCTGCGGACGCCTCCCACCGGCAAAGTGATCAAGACCCGCTACCGCATTGTCAAGAAGACGCCCGTGTCTCCTCTCAGCGCCCCCCAGTCTCCCCTGTCCCTGCCCTCTTGGCGGTCACGGCGGCTCTCGCTGTCCAGGTAGGACGCCCTCATCCGGGCTGCCTTGGGCCTGGGGCCTGTAGGGGACCGAGCTGGCCACACAGAAGCGCTTGGTCTACAGTTTGCCGGCCGTGGAAGAGGCTAATTTTTCTGTGTAGCAGTTTCTGCAGCAGACCTATGGCCAGCCTGCACATGCCGCGTGCACTCACGGACGCGCGCGTGCACAGACACACGCATGCCCTCCACTGCTGTCTGTAGGCTGTTAGCTGGCAGGGGACATCCGTGGGGGAAGCCACCATCTGGACAGTTGAGGCCACACCGGGCATTGTTCCACTTCATGGAGAAACTTCTGGTTAGAGGTAGGGCCTGAGCCGCCCTCTGGGAGCTGTGGCCCATCTTTGCTTCGGCACACAGGGCTACGGCCCTCTCCATGTCCCCCCCAATGGGTGCTGCCTGAACCCCACCCCCCAGTGCTGCAGCCTTGCTCTGGGCCGCTCCTGGCTGAGGGCGTACAGAGTGGGGACGGTTCCACTTATTTTCTGGGTGCCCTGGCCCAGAAGTGGGAGGGCTCTGTTGGGGCAGCAGCTTTAGGGGATAGAAGTCGGGGGCCCCTGTTGTGAGCCTGCTCAGCCCTGGGGCCTCAGGAGGCCCGTCGTGGGGGGCATGGCCCCTTCCTTTGCTGAGGTGGGGGGTGGGGCGGCAGCTCTGGTGGGTGAGTGGGAACGGGGCGCCCTCTGGGAGCCTCTTCCTAGGGGAGCAGAGTGGGAGCTCCCTCATCCAGCATTGGCCTCCACCCGGGTGCGGTGGGCACTCTGGCCTGGTGGGCACTCTGGACAAGGGACCGTTGTGCCCCACAAGGGACTGGACTACACAGAATACTGGGCAGGGGCCGTCCTGCTAGCCCACCAAGAGCCTCACCACCTGCTGGCCAGTGGCTCCCTGGCTCTGGGGCTGTGAGAGGAGGTGCTGGCCCACTGGCCTGTGGCAGGGCGATCGGCCCACCCAGGCCGCGGCACCCACTCCCTCCTCCGTTACCGCGAGGCTGCACTGAACTTGGCCCTGCTGCTGGTTTTTCTGGAGGCAATAGCTGCAAGTATATTTTAAATTAATTTTACTGCACTTTTTGTAATATTTTTGTTTTAAATAGATTTATAAGTATCTTGGGGGCTATTTCTACAAATTTATGAAGATAATTTTCACTCTCTCGATAAGGTTAAATTTACACCTGCTATTTCCATATTAATTCACAGTGCTAAGTGGGTCTAATTTTCTTCCGTTCTCCTATCTAGTGAGCATGGCCTTTCCTAATGCAATTTCCCCCTCACTAAATCACTGTGATCGGGAGTCATGATCGAGCTAAATTAACTTAAATTAATTTACTTAATAAGAGCCCCAGATCATCGTGAATGAGGTTCAGATTTATTGATCTTGCTCCCGCCTCCCCTCCCGCGGTCCGAATTCCGGTCCCGCCTCCCCCAGGGGGCATGGCTGGGGGCTGGGGCGGCCCTGTGGGGGGGTCACTGAGCAGAAAGGGGTGGCAGGCCCTGTGGGGCGAGGCCTACTGGGGGGGTGGCTGGGTGCACCCCCCCTGGGCTGTAGCCGCCTCATAACCAGGCAGAACGTCAAGTCCATTAGGTGGGGAGCAGCCCAGTCGGCAGCAGGACAGAATACTTGCCTGCGCCTCAGTGTGGGAGTTGAGCAGGTGGGGGTGGAGAGGGCGCTTGTCCCTATGCTGTGTGGGCAGGTCTGCGAGGTCTGACCTCCCGGCTCAGGTAGGTGGGATGGGCCGTCAGGGGAGGCGGGCCTCGTGCTGTGGTGCCGTAGGCCCGGCTCAGAACGGACAGGCCCGGACCCAGCTGCCCACCGTGCTTGGCCACGGCTCCCCCCGGGCCGGCTGCCTTGCAGGGAGGGCCATGGCCGTGTGGGTGCCCCGGCACAGGGGCCCGGCTATGGGTGGGTCGGGTAGGTGTGGTGAGGACGCCGCTCTGGTTGGCTCTGTGCCGCCCTGTCCCAGGCCGTGCTGGTGTCAGATGGCTCAGGTCCTGTGGCCCTGACTCGTGCGCGATGACTGCGGGCTCGGGTCAGCTTCGCGGGTGCTCGAGGCTTCCAGCGCTCCCTGTGCGTGCAGGCGTGGCTGGGCCCCTCCCCCCAGGACGGGTACACGTAACCTGAGGCCACGTGTGGAGGCTTTGCTTAGTGGGGTCTCCCTCCACCTGACCGCCTTACTCCAGGTCTGTGTCACCCATTGCCAGGGCTCCGGGACACACCCTGAGTACAGAGTCCTAGGTTCTTGGGGGCCAGGCCCCCGGGCTTCGTGGGCCTGCAGAGTAGGGTGTGGTGGAGGCCGAGGGCTGAGTGGCTCAGGTCCTAGGAAACGTGGCTGCCGGCGGACTGGGCTTCCTTTGCCCAAGGTCAGCCGGACCCCGGTGGGGGGTGGGCTTCCTTCTCAGCAGAGTGGCCGCCCACCAGCTTCCCGGCCTGTCGGCTGCGCCCGCCTGGGCTTGCCTTGTCGAGGCAGCGGAAAGGGCCTGTCTCCAGGGCCGGCGGCCAGTCTGCTGCCCACTCAGCTGCTACTTGCAGCTCCATCGAGCTGGGGGCTGCCTGTGTGCGGCCAGTGGGTCCAGGGAGGCTCTGGCCGACTGGCCTGGCCTGTGGCCTTGACCTCCACCCTGTGCATCTGCAGGCTCTTCAGCTTTTCCCTGGGCATGAGGAGGGGTTGAGCCGGTGGCTGGGCCCAGGCCAGTGTGGTCTGAGGGCGCAGGGGTGAGAAAGCAGGGCTTCCCGCCGGGTGGCCAGCCTCAGCCCAAGGCCCGTGAGCTCTCCTTCGCCCTCCTGATCCGGACGCACCTCAGAGGGGAACACCCCCGGGGGGTGTGGCAGGCAGGCAGGCCCCAACAGTCCTGGAAGTCTCAGTCGGCAGTGTTGGGGACTGGGAGACACAGGCGGGAAGTAAGTCAGGTGACCCGGCGGCCGAGAGTGCCGGTGTTGGCATGGGTGGCCCTGGATCCCACCCTCCTGCAGACACCCGCTGTGGAGAGAAAGCTGTGTATATGTGTGTGTGGAAATGCTGCCGTCGCGGGGGAGCCTGGGGAGCGCCGCTGGGGAACACACGCCGTGTGACCCTGAGCGAGCGGGAAGGCCGGGGGGCGGAGCTCCCAGAGGCCCCTGGGGCTGCCTCACGGAGTGGCCAGGTGTCCTGAGCAGGGCCGGGGCGGAACCTGGCTTATCAGCTAGATAGATGGCCAGTGGTCGTGGCAGGTCCGTGCCCTCCCTGTCCGGAGGGATGACACGCCTCGTTGTGGCGAGGGGTTGCCACACTCGGTCCTGTGCCACAAGGGGCCTGGCGTCAGAGCGAGCGTGGGGGCAGCAGGGCCGCTGCCACTCTTGCTCCGGGCAGATGGGGCCGTGCTTCCCGACTGCCTGGGACTATGGGGTGGGGGGACAGCACGCCCCTCCTGGCAGTGGCTGGTGGCCCCAGGGGCTGCGGGTGGGATCGCCGCGGGACCCGCAGGATGTACGGCTGGGCCCCGAGGACCACACGCCGCTGCTGCCCAGACCGGCCCGGCCCTGGGTGTGGGGTGTCTTGGGGGGCGGCGGAGGCTCCCGCCGAGCGAGGGTTTAACGTGTTTGTTCTCAGGTTTGTGGATTTGCCTGTGCCCTCGGCGGCTTCCAGCAAGTTCATTAATCTGAACTGCAGCTGAAACGTGACTTATATCCCTAAACCGCCTGTCACTTTTTACTCCTTCCAAACTCATTTGACGTGAAAGTGCGGGGTAAACGGAAGCCGCTGAGCTCAAGCAGATGAGTCTGGAGGCCGCTCCGTCCCGACTACAAATGGCGCTGTCACAGGGGCTGCCTCGCGCAGGCCCGCCTTACTTTATTTTATTTTATTTTAGCGCCTGTGCGGTAAATCTTGAGTAATCTCTGGCTGGTTTGACGAGGCTCGGGCTGCGATTTCGAAGGCTCTGAAATGTGTCTCCAAAGTGATGTCTCATTAAAGAGGAATTCAGCCTGAGGATGGGCCGGGCAGCACCCCCCCCCCCGGGGGGGGGCTGTGGGGTCCCGTGTGCTTCCCCCTCATGCCCGGCCCCCCCACCCCCACCCCCCCGGACGCCCAGGCTCTCCCTAGAGGCAGCGGGGCCCGGCCCCGGCCCTCGGGCCACTGATGCGGCAGGCTCTGCCTCTCTCTCTCTGTTCCGGAGGCTGGCCGTCTGAGGTGAGGGTGCCGGCGCCCTGTCCACGTTGCAGGCAGCTGCTTCCTCAGCATGTCCTCGTGTGGCGGGACAGTCCTCTCTCTGAGGGCGCCAGTCCTGTCGGGGGGCCCTGCCCTCGTGACTTTGTCCAACCCTAAGCACCTCCCAGAGGCCCACCTCCATGCGCCAGCCCGTTGGGATGAGGGTTTCAACATAGGGATTTGGGGGGCACGGCGTTCGGTCCATCCAGGGAGCATCTGCTGTGAGGGAGCCCCCACGTGAGGTGGGTGCCTCCTCCGTGTCACGGCCACGCCCCAGGCCCTCACGTGTCTAGTGAGGGCCCTGCTCGGCCGTGTGCACACAGGCTGCTCCCGCTCAGCCCAGGCCAGGACCCGTGACGGGACTAGTAGAGAAAACTGGGCGCCCCGTCCTGGGCCGGGTGCCCGCTCTGCTCACGGCGCTCTCCTCCCGTCAGGAGGCGAGCGGAGAAGTGAGGCGGGAGCCCCCACAGGGTGGTGAGTGTGGTGAAGCGCCGACAGTGTACCCGGGACAGACGGGTGCTCAGGGAGCCCAGAGAAGGCCGGTCTCGGGGTGGGGCAGGCGTGGTCACTGTGGGCCGTGTTGCCAGGGGAGGGAGCCCTGCTCCTGGGCCGGCAGGGGTGTGGGGGGTACAGCAGGGGGCTGTGGCCCTTCCTCCTGCTGAGCCCCTTCCCTGGCTGTGACCACGGGGTTCGGGCCCAGGGCGTGTGCCGCGGCCAACCTTCTCTTGACTTGGCTGCCATGCTCCTGGGGATGCCTGCCCGCACCCCCACCCGCTCTCTGACATTCCGTCTCCCCCGTGCCCCA